AAAGGTGCACTACAGGTATCTTCGAAAGTGTCTGGTGGGTTGACACGGATCGAGACTGGGATTTGTCACTCCGTATGACGGAGAGGTATCTCTGGGCCCACTCGGTAATGCATCATCATAATGAGCTCAAAGTGACCAAGTGTTTGGTCATGGATCATGCATTAAGGTACGAGTAAAGTGACTTGCCGGTAACGAGACTGAACGAAGTATTAGGATACCGACGATCAAGTCTCGGGCATGTAACGTACCGATTCACAAAGGGAATTGTATACGGGGTTGATTGAATCCTCGACATCATGGTTCATCCGATGAGATCATCGAGGAGCATGTGGGAGCCAACATGGGTATCTAGATCCCGCTGTTGGTTATTGACCGGAGAGCCATCTCGGTCATGTCTGCATTTCTCCCGAACCCGTAGGGTCTACACACTTGAGGTTCGATGACGCTAGGGTTATAAGGAAGACTTGTATATGATTACCGAATGTTGTTCGGAGTCCCGGATGAGATCCCGGACGTCACGAGGAGTTCCGGAATGGTCCCGAGGTGAAGATTTATATATGGGAAGTTGTCATACGGACACCGGAATGTTTCGGGGGCATATCGGTATTGTACCGGGGCCACCAAAGGGGTTACGGGGGTCCACCGGGAGGGGCCACCCCTCTCGGAGGGCCTCATGGGCCGCAAGGGGCAGGGAACCAGCCCCTGGAGGGCTGGGCGCCCCCCCCCCTTGGGCCCATGCGCCTAGTGTTTGGGGGGGGGAACCCTAGTGGGGGCGCCCCCCTTGCTTGGGGGGCAAGCCCCCCTCCCTGGCCGCCGTCCCCCCCTCTAGATCTCATCTAGAGGGGGCCGGCCCCCTTCCCCCTTCCCCTATAAATAGAGGGGCGAGGGGAGGGCTGAACACCTGATCCAAGGCGCAGCCCCTCCCCTCCCCAACACTTCTCCTCCTCCGTTGAGTGCTTGGCGAAGCCCTGTCGGAGTACTGCCTCTCCACCATCATCACGCCGTCATGCTGCTGCTGGAGCCTTCTTCCTCAACCTCTCCTTCCCCCTTGCTGGATCAAGAAGGAGGAGACGTCATCCGCTCCGTACGTGTGTTGAACGCGGAGGTGTTGTCCGTTCAGCACTTGGTCATCGGTGATTTGGATCACGGCGAGTACGACTCCACCATCCCCGTTCCCTTGAACGCTTCCGCACGCGATCTACAAGTGGTATGTAGATACAATCTCTCTCCCATGACTTGTTGCTTAGATGAACTCATAGATGGATCTTGGTGAAACCGTAGGAAATTTTTTAATTTTCTGCAACGTTCCCCAACAGATGACCCTATACTTCTCTGGCGGGAAGTAATGCTCCACCAGATGGCCTCTCGGTGAGGAGACTAGGAACCCGTCCACCCTGGCCATTCTGTACATGTTGATGGTCACCATGCCCCTGCCGATCACATGGATTTTCCTGCCGATGGCGATGAGCTTGCAAGGGCGGGCGTGTGAGCTTGTCCTTCAGCCCGCCAACCATCACCCACTCCTTGGTCTCGTTTAGTCACATCATCAGCTTGGTGCCGAGGGACTAGTCGAGCATGTAGAGCGTCTCGTCAACGACCCTCATTCTCCTTGCCCTCCAGGACTGGTCGACCCGGGTCATATGTAGCCGCAAAGTACATCATGTTCCAAGATGCCTTATGGATGGTCACCAACTCATCATTCGATGCCACAAATTTGACAATGTCGGGGGTGAGCGCTAGTTCTTTCGCGACCACCACGAGTCTATGGTTTTGTCATATGTGTCCCAAGAATTAGGTGAATAGTCTGTCTGTCCGAGTCCTCCGGTAACATAAATCTTATTGTTTAGAGCTACCGATACAACCCGTGAGGAGTTCTGTTGGTTGAAGCTTGGTTGGCCACAAGCATGGACCCTATATGTGGAACGGGACAAAAGGGAAACACGTACTGGGAAAAAAATCACAAGCAGTACGATGAACATAAGAAATATGTGGAGCCGAACCCTATCCATTCCACCTACAATGAGGCCTCTCTCCAACATAGATGGTCCACCATTCAAGACGACGTGAACAAGTATGTCGACCACTATTCTTCTGTGGTTGGCCGTAATCAAACTGGGGTTGGATTCAATGGTCAGGTAAGTTGTCTTTCTTCATTTTGCCATCATTTGCATTGCTAGCTTTGTTGCATTCTCATGAATACTTCTTATTTGATAGATGGGGTTGGCAGCCACTTTCTACTAACAAGTCGATAAGAAGCCATCACTTTAAGCTATTGTTGGTTGGTATTGAATGGCAAATCAAAGTGGCAACAACTTGTCGATGACCTCAAGAACAACAAGAGGTTGAAGAGAAATGGTGGCTCAAGCTCCCAACAGTCGGTTGGATTGGATGACGAAGAGGAATAAGTTGTAGGATAGGTTGCAAGTTGCTTGGGACACGTAGAATTTGAGGATAATGTTGGTAAACGCAGGCCTCTTGGATCCTGAAGGCAAGAATTGCCTTGAGGTGGGGAAGGAGATCAACCTGCGTAGTGAGTACGAGGGGGTGAGAACGGCCACGATAGCCGCAGATGTGACCCAGATGGCGACCGTTGAGTGATTCATTTTGTTGGACGGATGTGCCCTGGACGTTGAGTTTGATTCTGGAATGTTTGAATTGTTGAGTTGTGGATCATTTTTCTTTTGTTGCATTGTTGAAATTGGTGATGTATTTGTGCTATATGATTGACCTGCATGGATTTGAGGGTTTGATATGAGGAGAGTGGTTGTTCGGTAGGACTTTTCAGGGACCGTCTGACGTTATCCGGAGTCGTGGCCGGGCACGTCCACGGATGTTTAGGGGGCGGATTTTCTTAGTCTGACTGTAGATGCTCTTATGAATAGGGTTTGGTAGCACACAATTTTATTTTCTGTATCGCCATGGAAATCAAGCAATACTAATATGTTTTTCTTTACATACTTATAAAATTTTAATAGTATACAGTAGCATATTCTCCTACTTTCTCATAAAAAACAAGAGTTTTATTTCTCTGTTGTTCCACTTCGTAGTCGTTTAGATAGGCACCACAAATCGTCAATAATTCTTCAACAATTACATCACCTGCTATCGGAATAAATTTCACAAGGGGTAGAAACGAAAATCCTAAACCTACGAACGGCTACGTAGGTACTATGAA